TATTGGTTCTTAATAATTTTGTTTTGTTCCTCTTCTAATTTGTTCTGTTTTATATTATTGCAAATTCAGAGGTATTTTTCATGAATTGTTCGTTGATGTTTTGTTTATTGGTAGATTTAGTGTGTGCAATATGCACGTCGTCTTTGTTATTATTATTCGTGTACCGATTTGAAACATGACTGAAGACGTAAGTGACTAAAAGCGGAGAGGCAAGGAAACGTGCCGCTTAGAGGTAAAGACAATCGCTTTGCAACTAATTAACCGGATGGAGACGGATGCACCGATAATGGCGATCGATCGGTGCTCATTATCTTGTAAAACTAGCAAGTTTTGTCATGCGACGGATGCTACCACGGTTACTCCGTCTCGTGACCATAAGAGGCGGTAACGAAATTCGTTCGACGACATTAAGATCTCGAAACGATAGATCGTCCATCAGTCGCATTAACTTCATTCATTAACCTACCTGCGATAGAATGGCGCTATCGTGATCGATCAACTTTAAAACAAATTGACAATTTACCGTGGTATAGCATCCGCAATTTTCTAAAACTCGATTATAAAATCACTAAACACTTAAACGAAGTGTTCTTCTTCTTCGAAATACGAGAAAACAGTTAATACCGCAGAGAAATTATTCTGTGATTCCAGTTTATATATATATATATATTAATTCATTATAAAATATAGTTCAGTCAAAAATGCATTGAAAAATCAGTAAAATACGAAATTCTACTAAATTCATTACTGCTTTAGAATATTTTTAATCTACTGACGCTGTTAATGTAGGAAACAACTTATTCATATTCTTTGTGAGTTCTCTAAACTTATTAAAAAATATAAATGCGTAATTATCTGTTTCACTATTTATCTTATTACCTTATTCAGTTACTATTTTACTGACCTCTTAATTCTGTGGATCGTTTGTATCACGCTTCGCAAACCAAGCACAATTTATCCGTGACAGAGTAATATTTTAGGGCGTGGAAGTGTTAAAGTCGGGAACGAATTTCCGCATTGGATACCGATAATGACTCGAGTTTAATGAAACCGGAGGAATAAGCGGGAACAAACCGCTATCCCCAGAATTTTTTTCGATAAAACACGCTTCAGCGGCAATGCCGCGGTGGATTTCGAGAGATAACAAGGAGTTTTAGGGAACCGAGTCACGTTCACGTGGTTTTATCTGTGAAAGAAAAAGGAAACAAGTCAACCTCCGCACGTTACGACTGAAAAAAACTCTCGCGATCGTCGTTACGTGGAATTGTTTTTAACGCGAGCTTTAAAACGTTTTCCAGCACTCGACGTACGAGATTCGATAGGGCTGGATTTGGGTAACGGGCGCGTGACGAGGAATAGAACGAACCGTGTGTTTGCGTCTGAGCGGTTCTGTTATTACAAGCCAAGGTACTGCGAATGCACTGAATACGAATGGGATTGCGCAAGGAATAGCAAAACGGCATTTTAGTGTACAATAGTTTACTGTTTGTATATCTTTGTAAGTTTCTATACCTTCAGTAATAGATCAATTAATCTTTAACTCCTTGCCCTATGACTTATTTCTTAACAATGATCAAATACAACTATTTTATCGTTAATAATTTATTGGGAGAAGAAAAAATGTTGATGCTTATTTTATGTCTACATTTACTCCAAAGGTTAACAATTGATGCTAGAAAAGTAATATTTAATTTATATTTAGAGAAGTATAAATAACACATTTCTCAAATTCAGTTTATAATTTTCGTCGCGAATCTGATACGATATTACAAGTCAAGGAGTCAAACAAGAGCTAGAAAATAAAGTGATATATAATACTATGTCGTGTTCCTTCGAAATAACAGTCAATTCATTTATTTATTCAATTTATGATATAGAATATCTATGCTACATTGTTAAACTTCTTCTCTGAAACACAAAGCATTATATTAAAAGAAGGAAAATACTTCATTCGACTTGAATAGAAAGAATGTTCACTAAATTCAGTTCGAAATCCACAAACTCAAAACTATACCTACTGAATATTACAAATCAAGGAGTCGAATATTTTCAACCGTATCAAATGTCACTGGCAAATGAACAGATTAGTCAACTCATACAGTTGAAATTCGCGAGGGAAATTTCCGGGGCCAAATTTCGCGGAAAAAGGAACTTTTTATTGCACCTGACTGAATTTTTCTGGGCTGTAGCCCAGTTACACAGTTTCGAAGCTGCTAGGGAGAGTCGATTGCTCTCCCTGCTCGCACGGAAGGTCCTCGAATCAGCCGAGCACTGGAAACCTGGGAAAAACATTGATACCCGAGGAAAAAGCGTTTCCGAGGGACACGTGTCCTCCCTTGCCGTTCTACGGGGAATTGTTCGTGGCTCTTCCAAGTGCGACACGCGAAGGTTAGGCTCGCGTTCCCGCAACGGCCATTTCTCCGCGGCTTTACGCGGCCGTTGCTCTGGCCCGAGTGCTTCGACACGATATTATCCGGATACGGGAATCGTTTCCTCCGCGTGGTTCACGGTCTGCCGGAAACGATAAAACTTTTGGCTGGAGACACGAGATCGTCAAACTTTTCCATGGGTCAACGAGAATTCAGCCAGCTTTTTCTTTTTCCGCTTGCTACCTTTTTTGAAATTTTAAAAGAATTCGATTGTTGTTGGATTCAGGTATATTTATAGAGTAGCTGTGACACACTCGATAAAACAACGAGGAAAACGGAACGAGAAAATACATATTTTTGTTTTAACCCCTTGCTTTATAACGTGTAAGATTCGTGGTGAAGTGTTTCAACAGGATTTAACAAGTATAAATATTACTGATTCCATTCGAATTCAGATTAAATATTATTCTTCTGCAATCAATTAATATACTTAACGCTTGGTTTACGAAACGCATCAATTTGACGCATATTGAATTTCACGAATATTATTTAGTAAATGATTCTGTCGATTTTGACTAATGCATTAACACAAATGTGTATTTTAATGGTGTAATCTTTAAACTTCTAATTTCCAAAATCAAAATAAACAAACATCAAATTTTCTATGGCCAATAAGATAAACTATAAAATAAATATCCGTAAACATAGTGTTAAAAGCAAATGTAGACATAGAATATGCCTAGAACTTTTCTCTTTTTGTGATGAATTATTAACTACAAAGTAGTCGTGTCGATCAAAGCTCAGAAAAGGGCATAGGGTTAAATGAAAACATTTATGTCGAAGTGCCTCATAGAACTGCGTTTAATAAATTGATCAACGATACAAGCGTTGTGAATTGATGATCTCTTACTGTTAATGTAACAGTGTTCTGTTAAATTAATGGTACAATTCGAAAGATAAGTCAATGTGAAATCATGAATTAAAAGTGTACAGTAATGTCTCGTCGTATAAAGTTCCATTTGCAAATAAATCGATTTAGAAAGTTGAGTGCACGAGTGTTTACGTTCAAAGTGGATGTAGAGAGTAGAGAATGGACATGGATGAAATTAAAACTCAATTTTTCTGAGTACAAGCTAAAAGAACATTATTGTTCTATATTATTCATTAATCTTTTTTCTGCGGAGTTATTACATGTCGGGCTGTCAATAATTCAAGAACACCCTGTATGTTCTCTGGTCGAAATCACGAGTTTATTTTGAGAAACCGCGGAGGAATCCGAGACGCGACGGGCGAAACGCGAATTAGCTCAAGTTTCGAGCGAACGAGCTCGATTTAGGGCCATTAACGAGAACTTTGCTGAAGTTTCATTTCCTTTTGATGGAGTAATTTCGCTGGGCAGGATGTGTTTTTAACAGCGGAAGTATCGCTCAAATGGAGTACGCAGTTTGCATTTTCTTATTCTAATCACAAGCCTTTGTTCGTCAAAATTTTAATTGACTTTCGTTTTAATACGTGAGCCGGATAGCCTGGTAAAAATTGAACCGATGCGGACGTGGTTTACCCTTTCGCTACCGGTGTTCTGTCCGCCACGGCACTCCCGTGGATCGTCGAGCAACGAAAATGCACACATTGCGTGAAGAAGAGCGTCAGCGGCCCGATTTAGGCCTTACGACGGTATAAATTTTTTAATGATATTGCAAAAAGAATTTCTTCGAATAATAACAACAACTCTTAATAACAATAATAATTTTTACCAATTAAAACACTGAAACTGCAAATCCAGAAAGAGATGTGGAATGTGCAAAAGAGTAACTGTAGAGTAACGCCCGTCATAGCGAAAAGATTAAAAGAAACTGACCACTCGGCTTTGTCGTAACGGATTATTGAGCTGGGTTGGGAATACATTCAACAGCGTGTAAAGTGTCAGCCGCATCGACAAAGAACGATGTAACCAGATACATTTTTCAATGGACTGTTATTTATGGGAGCGTGCACCAGGTTAGGCTTAAAAGCAGCTATTAAGCCTCGCCTAGCCTTTTTACATTTGTGACATTTACTTCTTCCCATTTTTCTGCTTCCTTTTATAACCCTCCTTCCATTATTCCACTTGAATAAATTAAACCTCTCGTCTAACGTGACGAAAACTCGCTGCACATTATATAAAATCACAAACGAGCCATGACTATCTTGTGTAAATAATCAATTATCGTTTTCAATCATCAGCATTAATATCGATCCGTACATAGCAATTCAAACAGTACGCCGCAAAAAGAATAACTACAAAAAACAGATGTTAGAAAGCAATTCCTCGAGTTTCGCGAAAATTAACATTTCCCTGTGACATCTCGTAAATCCGCCGTCTTCCCGGCGCGAGTCCGATCGAGGGCACCATTCGAGGGCCCTCGAGCGAAGATCTACAGCGTCCGCGGAAGTAGGCTAACGCCCATCGTTTAATACACGAAGATGTAATCTGTGCGACAGCCGAGCATAATGGTCCTCGTTGACCCGTAAAAAAGTCCGTTTCCTATCGTTCGAACACGGGCCAGGCGCTTTGAAAGCACTCCGATTGCCTTCGACGATCGGATTCTCCGGCCGACTGATGTCTGAAAGCCGACTTTTCTTTTGTTCCAGGCGTGTCGCGCGAGGAGAAGCGGGAGAAGCGGCGGCGTTGACAGCGGACGACGACTGCACGTCAGTAGTCGGTGCCATTTCGGATTATCACGGTCCCGGAAGCACGATCGTTTGACGCCTGACGGAATGAGGTCCGTCCCACCCCCTGCATCGTCGCCGTCGACGCAACGAATCGCAGACTCGCCCTCGATCCCCAGTAGAATACGACGAACTGACATTTAACTGGATCGAGAAGTTCGATCGATCACAAATCCGAGGATAATCTCGAACGACCGTGAGGAAGGAGCTTGCTCTAGAAGCGTGGAGATCGCTACGATCTCGAGTTGAGTTATTGCAGTAGGATCATTCAAGTTTAGTTCGAGACTCCAACTGGTCTTGGGACGATCAGTAGTCTTATAGAAAAATAAAAAGAAGATTGGAAGCTAGGTGAAGTAAAAGGATCGTCTATCTTGTAGTCAGCAAGGTCTTAATATTCTCTTCAAGATGAATACCACGACGATGTACACGACGAACGTGAGCGACTACGATGATCCCAAGGTGAGCCAGAACGACTCAATGATCTGTGAGGCGGACATACCAATAGTCTCTCTGGTCAACATCATCCTCTATTCCATTGTCTGCGTCGTTGGACTTCTAGGCAACACCTTAGTGATCTACGTGGTACTGCGGTTCTCAAACATGCAGACTGTGACGAATATGTACATCGTGAATCTGGCGATCGCGGACGAGTGTTTTTTGATAGGTATACCATTCTTAGTCACCACGATGAGCTTACGCAGCTGGATCTTCGGTAAAGTGATGTGCAAGGTGTACATGACCACTACGAGCATCAACCAGTTCACCAGCAGTATATTCCTGTTCATTATGAGCGCGGATCGCTACGTGGCCGTGTGTCATCCGATTTCATCACCGAAGATCCGCACATCGTTCATCTCGAAGATAGTGTCTTTAACTGCTTGGGTGACCAGTGTCCTCTTCATGATCCCTATAATCCTCTATGCGAACTCGATGGAGTCTGAGCAGGGCATCAATTGTAACATCTATTGGTCTGACAACCGGGGCGGTCACACGACCTTTACTCTGTACACTTTCATCCTGGGCTTTGCTATACCGTTGTTCCTCATACTGAACTTCTACTTCCTGGTGATCAGGAAGTTGCAAACGGTTGGGCCGAAGAACAAGTCAAAGGAAAAGAAACGATCGAAGCGCAAGGTGACCAAGATGGTGCTAACTGTGATCACGGTCTACGTATTCTGCTGGCTGCCCTATTGGCTGACACAGGTAGCGCTGATATACACGCCACCTAAACAGTGCCAGAATAAAATCAGCATCACTATATTCTTGCTGGCTGGGTTCCTCAGTTATAGCAACAGCGCGATGAACCCAATTCTCTACGCGTTCCTCAGCGACAATTTCAAGAAGAGCTTCCTGAAGGCGTGCACGTGTGCCGCGGGCAAGGACGTGAATGCTGCGCTGCACATAGAGAACAGCGTGTTCCCGCGAAGAAACAAGGCAAACGCCGAGAGGCTGCAGTCGAACCTGCTTGCTGCGTCAGGCCAATCCAGGCTGGAATTGGAGGACGAGGACGCCGAAAGGTGTCTGATCAGCAAGACGTCCACCACCACGGTGACCATGACCTCGCGGTCAAACATCACCATCGGTAATGATTCTAAAGAACAATCACAGCGGGACAAGGACTCGATGAAAAACGGCGTGCAGCTCACCTTGCTAACACAGGTTTAATGCGGAGGACTATGATCATCGATTGAACTTCGAACGATCCAACGAATCGAAAACGACGGACTGATTACGATGGCTTCTGTGGTCCATCCTCGCCGGATCGAGGGACGAAACTTCTTCAATGGATGTTATTGCTTTTTCTACCGGAATAAACTGACTCCTCAATATCTGATTTACGTTGATAGGGACTTCAGTTTAGTTTCTCTTCAAACATTTTAGTTTTTTTTACATACATTCGATCATACTTTTTACATATTTACACAACATTCAGATTCCACTTGAGTAAGCTAAGTATACATCTGCGGTTTTCAGTATCTTACTAAAACAGAGTTGAATTTTTTAACATAAAATAGAATCGTAAGATCTCTGAGTTTTCATCTACCTATTTGCAATGAACTTCAAAGAAAAACATTTCTCCATTTCTTCTGCAATATCATCCTACGTACGATATCAGTGTCAAACAGTTACCGGTAGGTGAAGTATTAATCCCGATGTCCAAATGAGTTTCATTGAATCCAACGCAAGAAGACGATCGTTTCTCCCGAGACACCGACGTCTACCATATCTCACCATCGAATATCTCGTGGAAAGCACGAAAACCACCCAAAGAGAACAAGTTCTTTCATGGAACGCTCGATGTAGTGGTGCCTCTGTCCATCGAATTTTTCATATATCCCGGAATTGCAAGCCGTGAACAAACCCCCGTCGATCACCTAGCTTTCGCTAAGCGTTGTAAAATCGCGGCTAAGCATTCGGGTTCCTGTATCTGGCCGTTGTAGATCTGTACCTGATAGCGTATCGCGTGAAGATCGCCGGTCGTTCAGTTAAAGAATGACAGAAACTCGGCTACGAGCCGATTCCACGATTCTGCGCGTCGTCCGTGACGCGTGTGCGCCGCCATTACTCTTCGCCGGATGAGAAGCCGACTTAATGGCGCGGCTCCCTGTCGCCCTGACGGCTCTGGACGCGACAGCGGCCCCAGAAGATTTATGAGTTTTCAATGGCGACGAGTGTGTGGCAAAGAACAGGAAGCTGGCTGAAACGGGGAGCACAGTTGGGAAATAACATGGACTTTCGGAAGGAACGTGTTTCGAATTGCTGATAGAGCTATCGCGATTCCCGTTTAAACGACGAGTCATATTTTGAGACGATTCTTGGGCAACTGCTCGGTTGGATAAAGAGGTTGACTACGGGAGTATTTATAAGAATCTTACGAAATTGAAGTAATTTGTTGAGTGGAAGAGAAACTGAAAGTTAAGGACTATTATAGTGATTGCGCTTTTAACCAATTTGCGTTTTATATAATCTAAAGATTTGGAACACTCAGTATATCGACTTATAAATTCGTTTTTATGTCTGAGAAGTTATCTATTTGTGGCTGAGTGTTGCGTGAAAGTATTAATGAATCGCTCGGAAATAATTTGGTCGCTGAATCGAGATTGAATATTATTAAATATTTTCTTATATTATATTGTATTTGGATATTGAAATTTCTATAAATATACTAAGATTATTACCTAGATATGTAGAATTTTCTATATTCGTTAGCATTTTGTTTCATTGGAGAAGGTAAAATTTATCGATTATCGAATATGCGTTCAAGTATTTTCGAGCGGCAATGTACATGCACATTGAAAGTCCATCGAATCGATCGAACATCAATCAACGACACAACAAAAGGGACGAAAACTTGGAAGTGATTGGAGGTAACTGGTTCACAAAAGTGCCAAAGCAGAACTATGTCCATAGTTCTTATACTAATGGGTCCGAATCGTCGATTTGTACCTTCCTACGAATTACATCTGTTAAGGGAACGTTGAGGGAAAAAAGCGAGTAACCATAGCTTAGGTACTCGAGAAAATGCTGGCTCGATTCGCACCCGAGGAAAATCGATCCGGAGAGTCTCGAAGAAGTGGACTCCCACGGGCCTCGCATCTCCAGCGACGTTCTCTTTTATTTTCTTACTTCCTTAACGCTAAAACCGGGGAGGAGGTCGTTTTGACTATTCTAGCTTCCAACACTTCCAAAGGAAATAATTAATTAACGATGAAAGTAATGAACAAAATTAGACACGTGACATCTAAACTATAATATTCTTATAAAAGTATCTATACATAAAACTAAAGCAACCCTCCGTCAAAACGATTCTAAACAGTATAATAATCTTTACTTTACAGTTTCATCAATTTCTCATTTACCAATATCAATTACCGGCGTTTCTATTTTTAATTTCTGCGAATCGAGTGACAACGTCCACGCGGTGTTCCAATTGAGTTCGATGAAATCGAGCAACTAAAGAATTAACGTGACAAATTATAGTCAATTGTCGTGTCAATAGAAAGAAGGAAGGGTGATAGAATGTTTCCTGCAATTGCCAAGTGGAATAATACGACAAGGAGCGAGTAAAATCCGCGAGAGGTATTAAACCACTTTCGCCAGTGGCTCCGGCAGATCTCGAGGAAATAAATGATGGTAATTGTTTGACTGGGAAGGATCCTCCATTCTCAAAACCGAAAACTAGTTTTCGATAAACCACGCGAGGAACGGTCGGCTCTGATTGCTACACTCCGCCTGCATTTGGCTTCCAATCAACACAGCTTTTGAGCCGCGATGAGCCTCTCGTTATGGCATATTCGCTAACCTAAAATTTCTCCGTTCCTGCAGAATTCGTAAGTTCAACACAAGACGCCCGTAAAACGAGAGGCGACGAGTTCGTTGCAAGGCTCCGAACTCCTAATCAAATGTACCTTCTCAAGAATTTTTAAAATTGAAACGACTTTACTGCAAACAAAAAGCAAAAAGAAAATGTCGATTAATAACACAAAGTTTCAAATTATACATTGGTTTACGATACTATTAACGATCATTCATCTTTCTGTTGAAAATGAAATTAATATTTTATTAAAACTAAAATTAAAAATAATACGGAACAGAATGGTTAGTATCTAAAACGGAAAACAATATTTCAAACCCAATATCAGAGAAGTTTCATTGGAAACTGGGAGGCCAGCACTCGCAGAACACATCGGGAACCAAAACATCAATCGAAAAAGCTGTATCACGCGACATGTACCGTCGAAGATGGAATTTATGGTCCGATCGTGCCGGGAACCAACATCCAATGTTCACTGAGTTTAGAGGTTTCAATTCCCAGGCAGTTTCGCCGAGTTCCTAAGGACCCGTCAATGTGGAATCACCTACATGGTTCATCCCATATCGGAAAAATTATTCGAAACAGCCATATCGAATGGTCGCGATCCATCTGGATGAACTATCGTTCCCTAACTCAGTTAGGCGGGCTCCTCTTTTTGTTGCGAGGAAGGCGAGGCTGTTTACACGTGCTCGGCCGTAGCCGCTCGTAAAACGTAACCGAATCGCGTCACGTGCCGCTGCAGTTTGTTTCGGATCGCTAATTTCAGTCCGAACGCGTGCCACCGTAGACCGCGAGACCTACGCTATTATCGTAGTTCCTTTGAAAACTCGCTCGAAATGCGACCACGAGACATTAAATTTCATTTAACGACTTCTCTTTTGAATTCTGTTCGATATATCCATGGAAAACACGAGTCTGGAATAATTAAGATCGCTTCTTTGGGGTTATGGAAGGCGGATATTTATGGTTTCCTCATTGCTGAAAATACTTGAATCTATTTCGACATGAAATTGTTAGTTTTTCGGTTTATCCATTAAGATTTTTGCCAAAGATGATTTAATTTTCTATCTATAGATACATTCAACCGAAGATAAATGGTAAAGTCTCAGTTATTAACAGTAAAACTACCGCACCCATCAAAATTATGGGTTTCAGTTCTCTTATCTCCCAATTATTAATACCTTAAAAGTGTAAAATATCCGAAATAAGTTTACAGATAAATAGTTTTACTGGAAAACTGAAAGATGTCTACATTTAGAATTTTTATAAGGATTAGATATTAATCATGCTAAACTTCCAGTAGTTCTTGTTAAGTAATGTGCTGTGATGTGATTTTTTCTTCTGGAAATCATCAAGCTGTTATAAATGATCAAATATTTTTGAATGATAGAAGACATGCCTCTTAAGTTCTTTCTTAAATATTTAGATCAAAACGGATTCACGCTCTGTCCAAAGTTGAAAGAAATTGAAAGTCCTAGATCACTGGCTAGGAAAGATATCGAATAAAGTCCTGTGAAAGTTTGAATTTCGGTATTGATTCTTATCTGATGTAGCATTGAAACTAATCCTTTCTGGGAGCCATTGGCAATGTTATCAGCCACCGCGCGGCTTTATTGGACAATTTAAGCTGGTACCGCGCTGTCGATACCGATAACTAAGCACGCGACCCGCGTTCCCCCGAAGAATTAGATATACCCGATATCTCGCGAGTCGAGAGGTTTCATGAAACGAGTCGGAAGTTTACGGGAACCTTTTGTTTTCTGCTCAGTTGAACCTGAAGTTATTCGCGGGAACGATCTCCTTTCTTTCTGATAAGAGTATTCAAATCGAACATTGAGACTTTGTTTCGTAAGCGAGTTGTAAGAGAAGTTGAATTTACAAAGCGGTTCAACATGTAACAAATCATTGAGTATTTTGTGTTCTAGAGTTTAATCTTAATTCCTTAACACTAAACATACCACAATCGGTCAAATAACCAGTTTTAAAATTTGATTTAAAATTTTTTATTTTTTTTCGTCCAATTTAACTTTCTAACGATTCTTACATTGTCCGGTTAATTACGGTATCAGTTTTTGTCTCTCCTTTTGTTTAAGTTTCTACTAAAAAAATTGCTCGTCCAATTTATTTACCTTTATTTTATAACTAATTCTTTAGCTGGTTAGAGTGGAAATAGTTATATATAAAGTGCTGGTACGTTTAGTGTTAAAACATCTCGACGACTGCATATATTCACGCAAACCTTCAAAATCTATTTATAATATAATATATTCTTCCTTCTAATAATAATATCTTTCTTTTAATAACAATATCTTCACTAAAACGAAAACAGTTCTCGAAAGTCACTTGAAATGTCACAAAAAACCTCTCTGGTTCAACTAGATATCTCTAATGACAATTTAAATCTATATACTGCTCTATCTACGTAATCTCGAGTTACAAGAGAAGTGAAATTCACGAACCGCCCGAACATTCGAGAAAACATCGAAGATTCAATGCAGAGGGCCGGCAAATATTTGACGTTCACATGAACACCAGGGGCCGGGGAGATACAATATCGCTGAGAAGATAATCTCATTCCACTTGCTTCCACAAAGAGTGTATTCTGGGTCGAGCAGCGCGGTAGCCGAGGGAACACAAACACGAGTGCGACTAGGCAAGATCCGAGTACTGGCTGCGTCGGTGAACCGTCGATCACAAGAGGATCCTCGGGGCCGAGCTTACACGGCTACATCATTAACGCAACTTTCTTGGAGTTCGCCGCGGGGCTGCAGCGAGCCAGCTTCTGATTTCAGCCGGGTTTATTGGATTCTTTCCGGGCAACGTGTATACAGAAAGAGCAGGTTCATCCTGCACGCAATTGAATTACTTCTGCCGACGACTGCCTCGCGTGCACATTAAGCAAGCGACTTCATTGTTATGACGACGCGTTGAGCAGCGTTAGCTGAAAATTCGTCAGTTTAATGGGAACGCGAAACCAGGATGTTGATTCCGGAGAATCATGGGGTTAGAGATTCATCCTTTGCGAACGAGGATTTTTATAAGTTCTAATAAATGAAATAGAGAATTGTTGAAAAGCTTTTCTCATGAGAAATTTAATTTCGAACTCTTAAATGCCAGAAGAAAAGAAAATATAGTGTTTTATTGTTGAAGTGATTAAATTCTATGCTTGTAGCCTTAGATTTTACGTAGATTCTGTGATCCCGATTAGTGATTTTGTCAATGAGATTGTGACAGAATTCGAGATCGAAGTTACAGGATATAGACGAATTTTTTGTATGTCGGAAGGATACGGAATCGAAAGAAGACAATTCTAGAAACCGAAGAAACGCAATGTCAAATTGTGTGCAAGAAACTACTGCAAAGGAGAAATCGTACATGGATTCGACAGAAGTCTGAGAAGCTTCACTGTTTTTTGTTGCAACTGTTTTACGTCGCCGGAAGGACAAAGGCAGGAAAATCAGTCAGAAATTCATCTCTGTAATATAACGATGTCGTTTCACGGAAACGACTACGGTTAACATTTCACATTTGGAAGAAAGCTGAAGATAGGACGATGAAACGCTTCGGAGAATTCGCTTTTACTGCGATGAGGCACTCCCGATCGAACATCATCGTAATTTCTTATTTCTTTAACGTTGTTTGTCTACTACCGTCCACGGTTCAACGGCGCGTCTTCCTCGCAAAACGGAACCAATATTATTCTGCGTTCACGTCACTTGCACGTTAAGCATTATTATTGGCATCTGTCGCGGCGAAAATAATATTTTTCAAAAGCTTGCCAACCTGTCCATGAGTTTGTCGAATGTTCGCGAGAGATCGTCGAGTAACGCAATAAGTTCTCCAACGTCCCCGAATATTTCGAAATGAAGTTGGAGGATATTAAACGGAGCTTAAGCGCTCTCGGAAGAACTTGGAGGGTCTTCGAACGTCCCCAAGAGTTTCGAAAACAAGGCGAAAGTCCCTTAAGGACATCTAGGTTCATAACTGATACTAGACTGTTTATAAGGAACCTCATGGATTTCAACAAGATTTTAGAGAACTTTTAAAGATTCACATGGACTTCAAGAACATTCCAAAAGATACCTAATGATTCGCACAGACTCCAAAAACATCTCAGAAAACATCTAAGGATCACGCATCCTGAAAGATCTTCCTCCTTAATAATCCCTGCCATCTTCAAGTTGGTTCCTAGGAGCTCCTAAAAACCCCTTGCATTTCAGGGAAATATCCTGTATTCTCGAGGGTCCCTATGCAATTCAAGAGGATGCAAGAAGTACCTTCGCAATCTCCAAAATCTTCTGAAGGATCTTGAAGGGTTCATAAACTCTCTGAGAGCAATAAGAGCCCGAGTGGACCTGGGAGATCTGCAAGGACATTTTACTCCATTACTGTCATTATCACGGTACCTTTTATCACAAATAATTTCGTAATTTCAATAACTTCGTCCCTTCGTATCATACTCCAATAATTAATTATCTGAACGCCATTATCTTGCACAATCCCTCCCGACATTTTCTCGTTGTCTAGGCATCAAGCCTCGTCACGAATTGCATCACAGGGTTGACGCGCGCGTACCTACGTATCGATGGCATTCGGTCGTTACGCGGTTAATTGCTTTTACGGCAGCCCTCTTAGAGGGAGGAGAACGAGAAGCGGCTGTTGATGGGTTTGCTTCACTCGCGCGGCCGATATCACGTTAGAGTTAAAATAACGCGGGGAACACAGGGGCGAAATATTGGCAAGGTGTGCCGGCGCGTCGTTACGTCCGTTAAGCGGCGGCTGCCGCGGAATTCGTATTTAATTTCGTTAAACGAAACTGCAATCAAATTTAAATTTTAATGTCCGGGATGCGGCGCGTTACGTCGCGGAACACTGCGGGGGCGGAACGTTTAATCGGCGCGCTTTTATATGGCTGAGAGCGAGACGGGGAACGACGTAATTCCAGCGACGAGGACCGTGTTTAAAGGAATGCCCCGTTCGCTGGAGCCGTTGGCCGTTACTCCACCAAAAGGGCTGATAAGCCGACGCTGCAATTCTCGAAATTTTTTAATTCTCATCCCTTTTTCTGTAATTCCGTCAAACCTAATTTTTGTAAAAAATTATGTTGACATATCTGTTATGAATTTATTACGTTAATAAATTATTCTTTAACACTAAAACTACCAGACGGGTAAAAATTACCCATTCCCGATGTCTTTATTTCGCAATTATTAGAAATTTCTCTGAGAAATTATTAGAGAAATTGATGTAATAATGCGCAAACTGGATGGAAAATCAATTAAAGTCTGAAGAATTGCACTCTTGGAGTATGTCTAGAGGAATTTCAAAAATTCAATTTAACTGCGAGGTAGGTTTGATGTTAAATTCATTAAATTAGTCAATTATTCCTCAAAGTTATTATAACGACAACAATGGAACATCAGTAACGATATTATTTTGAATAAAATAGTGGTAGTATACTACTTTTTTAGTAGAAATAGATTCAAAGTGAAGATGTATACATAGTTGTCTGACAAAGTTTTAATATTTTGTCAGATATTGAAGTAGTCGAACGGCGTATACTACAATTTGCGCCTAATCTGAAAGGGTTATTCGTGTCCGAGCACATTCGTTTTTCTCGTTTCACGTTTATTCCCTCTCCGGCCTATTTATCATTGCAACTTTCATTCATTGTCCTCAGGTTTACGAGACCGTCTCGCCCTTCGGGTGAATTACGAACACTTTCTCGCGTCGAATACGAAATTACGGTATAACGTCCGGCGAAATGCGAGGGTGCTATAATTCTTGGCCCCTGACGGGGAAATTTCATGCGGCGAATGTATAATGCAATTATTTCGTAGATCCTATTCGGAGTGATTATTCTTCCTGTCTATGTTTTCGAGAAAATATATCCTTATTTTACTGAGGAAGATACTTTAACGTCAGCCTTGAAGATACGAACGAAGATAAATAATCGTTTGGAATATTCCAGGGAACAGGAGTATTATATATTCTATACCCAATAGGCTGATGTAGCTAATTCAATTTTACCAAAGTTGATTCGTAGCTGCAAACTTCCCGAGAAAGTGGAAAAAATAATGGAAAATAAATAGAAAGAGTACTTGCACATCCGCAGAATAGCAGTGCTCAGAACCAGTGATCCATTTCAAAAGATTTCAAACGACACCGCCGAGGCACCCGGCAAAATTGCTCAACCCATACGTTCGAATTCGAAGCCATTACGCGCACAGAAGGTGGTGACTTCGGAAAATGAAGCGAGCGATTTGAAATGTCTTCCGGGAAATAATAAACTCGAGCGATTCCATTCGAGTTCACGGCGCATAAATAAAAGAGCCCGAACTCTCGGTTACCGGGGACCATCGCAGAGTGCAGCCGCCTGTAAACAAAACTCAAAAAGTCAACTGTTCACGTAACAAAAATTGGAAGTTACCAATCTATTGTTAAGTAGTCCCTGCTATGCAAAATAATCTTTATTCCAAAAATTAATGAATTAAATAACTAAACTAACCACTACTTAGCGGGCTCAAAGATTGCCTTACAGACATTCCAGGTTTACCACGTGTTTATATTATTACCTTGTGTTCATTGTTAAATATATTTATTTAGATTTTTAACAATGGAAAACATTCTCCGAAGCCTGTAAATCTGTTTTCATATGATTTTGTGCAAATAAATTCCGGTTCTCTATTTATATAACACTGAAATCAAAATGCAGAATATCCATTGTCATTTAAAAAACTTCAGAATATCGCTATAATGTAAAAAAAATATAACCATAATATGCTTAACTCTATACCTTACAACTTTTGTCCAAAGCATTTCTTTTCTATCGCTTATACTTTTTAAGTTATTGAGTTTTGCCCAGAACGCGAGCGTTTGACTGCACTGTGCGTCGTTTAGAATCAGAATCGTAATCGCAAGTTCCGTTCCTCGGGCTCGGCGACTCGCGGCACATAAATCGCGGAAAACTTGTGCGGTACTGTTCCCAGCCACCGGATAAGATTTACACGACGCGCGTCCGGGATTCGGGAAATTATGCTGCTGGTACAGCGCCAACAATTTTCACGGGACAGGGACATATTTGTCGAGGTACCGGCGCAATGTTTCTCGGAAAAATTTCCGTCCCCAATCCCCGGGTGATTAAACATCTCGCGAGGATGTAAAGTCAGGCGATAATTCTCGGGCGTGATATTAACTGCATTCGACCACTATGAACGTCATCTTAACCCTTTGCATTCGGTTTATTTTCAATGTTGTTGGATGTAAACTTGTGTTTATTTTTACAGAAATGAATTAAAGTAATTTACAGCTGTAGAATTCAACGTTTTATATTTATTTAATTTATTTTTATTATAATAAGTATATAATTTCTTAATTATAATAAATAAATAATTTCATTGTTATAATCTTTAAAAATGTGGTACTGTTTCAAACAATTTCATGCCGATTGTCAACAATGACATGTGAGTGCAAAGGATTAAAATTCAAAATACTAATTCTTTCAACGATGAATTATTTATTTTCTCAAATAGACGTGTAATTCTTTTTCGTTTTGCTTCAAGTTTTTATTAGAATATATTATAGATGTATGTGAGCTACGTCTGACCAGTATACACTTGAATGTTTGTTTTATTGCGTGCAGAATGAAAGTCATTTGAAACTAAATTCCATTAGTTAACAGATTAACACGTTCGCGGATAGTAAAAATTTCAATGAACTGCAAAAATAGACAGTACTGAAATGCAGTACTCTAAGGATTAAAGTGCATAGTAATTGAAAAAAATTTAATCCACATAGAATTAAATGCGATAAAGTATCTTATAAATTTTAATGTTACATCACAATGAAAATGAATGTTATAGCATTCACGTCTGCGAACGTTTTAACAACTCGCAAAACGTGTTCTCGCTACGAAGATGAACGAGCTTGACGATACATAATTCTCGGAGACGCTGCGCGAAAGAAAATTAGCCGGGGAGCTTCCTCTTTTAATCAGAATTGAATTTTCCGACGAGACGCGCGACAGTTAGCCAACTCCTTAACGAACGTCCATCGGGAGCGAAAACGTTAATGCTTCGATGGAACGATGGTAAAAACTGGAAATATCGAGGCAATCATGCAAAAAGAAAGACGATCGTTTGGGTCCAGCGTTCTTCGAACGCTCGCGCGAATTTCCATTGATCAGGCGGCCTGGTTTACCATTCCGGAGGAGGAACCAATCACGAGAGAGCTCGTCACAGTTCACCGACGATTAATTCCCATCGGGTTTTGCTTCACGCACGGTTCAACGAATATTTCTTATTCTTCTTGTTCAGGTTAGAAATTGCCTGAAATTGAAAGACAATAGCTGACGAAAAGGAACCGGAGAAAAAGGGACCAGAAATTGATCGAGAGACGATCCCTCCCATGCGGGAAAGAATTCTCGGAACGTTTCCCTTGCGGCTGCGTTTAACTCGCGTACCCTTTGCGCGGTATATCAAATTCTTCTCGATACCAGCAAGTGTTGAACGGGTGAAGCAAACTTTCGTGTAACGTGTCATTCGATGATATTGAAATTGTTCTCAATTTAAGGGAAACTGCTGCTTTGAAATAAATTAGTATCCGATTTAAAAAACGGTATTTGTGTGTTATGTACGCGACGAATTCTTCGGTTGAAAGATCTTCTAAGTTGAGAAGCCCATAAAGCTCGTCTGTTTTAAGTATTATGAAAGGATCTCGGAGGGTGCTGGTAGTTCTGAAAGAAATCCAAGAGATCTTCAAGGATCTGCATGGATTACAAGCGTATCCAAGCAGGCACTCAAGGATCCCCGTGCTTTCTAAGGAGATTCATTTGTCTATAAGGAAGCTAAAGTCTCTAAGGTGTCTTTAAGGTCTCCAGGATCGAAGTGAATCTTAGAGGACTCTTAAAGACTCCTGTGGATTTCAAGAAAATCCCAGAGAATTCTTAAACAGTAAGTAATTGATATTGTTCCTTCATTATTTTTTATCACCCTTTTTAGAAAAGATGAAATTGATCTAAATGCGATACTTTCTCTCTATCGCGTTTTAAAGGGTACAAAGTAAATAATAATTGTAAGGAGCTAAATTAAGTCAATCATTGCAAAATTTTTTCGACACCGAACACTCAAATGATGTGTCAAATTTAAAATGTAATCATTCTTTATTCTCTGTCGAGTTCTAAAGGATGCGAAATAAACAATAATTCGAAGGTGTCAAACCAACCAAACCATTGGAAAATGATTTATCCGGCGTAAAACACACAAATGGCGCGTCAGACCGTCCCACCAGCCGGTTTCCTAAACCGTGAAACAAACCGAACTTCGCAGCAAATGTACACGTAACCACGGATATCGTGAACTCACTTGCCGCCGAGCAAAGAGACGCCAGACGAAGCCGCTGGATCCGGAATCGACCTAATTCGAGGATTTCTGAATCAGTGGGCTTCAATCAGGCAACGAAAACTCGTGTCTCAGCGAGACGCACAGGCACTGCTACTAAAGCTCGAGAAAATATTTGCGGAAATGGGATTTTCTTCGATCGTAGAACCATCCAATCACGAACGATAGTATTTGACTTCGCCTAGAGGATCTTTGAATCATTATAGTCCAATCTGAATTCACGACTGTTGGGTTGCGGAGATGTAGCACGAAATTTAGGAACGAAACACTATGCTTTTCCATTACTGAGACAAAACGGATGATGGTTACAGCGCATAACATTGATTTCTTACACTAATTAATATAAATTATATTAGACATCTCAATTGAAGCGTCAAATTCTTCCGAAAACTTCATATATCAATTCTCTATTCACATTAAGCACTACATTATCACTTCATAAAATTTTGTGTTGCAGAAATAAATTAAACTTCGCACTCATATTTTCCCGAAACGCAGGACCAAAACCCAGAAAATCTCGTAGTTAAAATCCATCCCAATCTCAGCCAATCTTAATCCCATTGAAACTCCATTTCGACCGCACACAATATTCTTGCATGCATACACGCTTATTAGCATACATTCCATCAGTAATTCGTATTTCGCGTGATTCGATCGAAGAATGCGTGGCGGCCCCGCTCCGAACACAGTCAAGAAAGCCAACGGGATCCGGCCCGATCGATTCACGATAATCGCGCAGAAACAGGATTTGCCATTCCCGTTTTCGTGTGCGGCACGGCGGGTGACCGGCCACGAATCGGCTGCAACAAATTCGCGGGCCAGCGGTTGTGTAATCGGGGTTACACAGCCGCAAAATTGCCGAACGGCCGGTAATTGCCAAACGACCGTGCTCATCACCTATTCAACAACCGTGCCCAACGTTAATCGGATAAACTCGTCCGGCCCGCAGGTGTGACGCTTAACAAGATCATTTGGTAGCGATACAGTTTACCCCTTCGTCGCCAGAAACTCGATTCTTGGAATTGTTTTTCTTATCCCAAGAGACTCGAAGTGTCCGCGAACGAAAAGTGTTTTCCAAAGCTTTCCGTTCTCCGCCAATCATTCTCCAGGGCGTTAAAACACCGTTCCCGTTTCGAGAAGAATGGCGCCTCTTAAGTTTACTTCCGCGCAAGCCGTTTTTCCCGGCGGAATCGAAGGAAAACGAATTTCCTGGCACCTTGGTAGCCAGTCGCACTACGCGAACGGCCATCCCGTCGACGCCGGTAACGACCTGTAAATAACGGACACCGTTTCACGGCGTGGAATTCATTTTGCTCGCGACACAGAACGGATTCCAGTGGCGAAGAGTGGCTTTCGTAAAACTATCAATCCATCCGCGACGCTTTTAATGAACCGATGGACGAGAGGCTGCCTCCTAGCGCAGCCCGAAAGCTCCTCGTGTGCGAACGATCGATTTCCAATAGACGTTCGTCACCCGATGATCCTAATGAAACCTCTGTCAAGGTCGCGTCCACTAGAGCGAAGATCTCGCGGGATGAAGTGGCTGAGATAGAGCGTTGAGGGAAGAGAAAGTGTGGCAGATAAAATCCGTGGCTATGAATTAGAATGCGAGTCATTTATTGTGCACAAATTTCATATTAAATATCAATTTAAATATCAATTGTTGTTGATTTGAATTGAAATTTATCGACGAAGTTTGGAAATGTTTTCTTCTTGATATATTTTTCAGTAAAACTGATGTGCTAAGGATAAAATCCTCGTACTAATACATGCATGTTCAGTTTTTCTTTATTTCTGCACAAATGATAATAAAGTTACACAACGTTTATAGATTTAGGTATTCTTGTAACTGGTTGAAAAAAAGACATTTTCGATATTTAAATATCAACTGATCATTCAGTTGTCTAATGGAATAGGATCAGTTTACTGAAACAAAAACAACGACGCTTCTAAACATTGCAACCGTCTCACTGCTGCAACACAAACAAAGAACACGTGCTCCCGCCAAATTGAATGAATAAAATACCTCCAAGTAATATAGCATTCCGCCATAAACTGCGAGCGGAAACAAGTTCGCGACGCCGGGTCGAGAGATAACATGTTTTGCGCGCAGTTCCCGAAGTTTTCGCATTCGAAATTATTTATCCAAGAGCATCGAGCGTTGATAAATTGTCGCGTGCCGTTTCCTCTCGCTTGTAGATTGCCTCACCAGCCCCGTCCCCGTCGGTCTTGCGATGCAAATGGCGGTTTCCGGCAGTCACCGTGCACGTCGGAAGCTCTAGCTGAATTTCTGAATGGAGGATCGCTGGTTTCGCGCAAGAACCTTGGGATTTATGTGCGGAAACGCGCCGGCGTGTCTCGAAAACTTGGAGCTTCCCTCTTCTTCCGATTTTTGTAGGTCACGAGTGAATCGCTACTCCAACATATAAAAAGGTAGTTTGATCGCCGCGAAAACATCATCCACGAAAATATTACTCCTTCTCCAGTCAAAGAAAGAATTTTATTGGCGAATATTTTTGTGACGAGTAGCTAAAACTGTTTATAAAAGTGTCACGCGGTACGTAAATCGAATATACACCGCAAAATAATCTATTTGTATTATCTGACATTATTGTATTGCCAGAGCCATTTCGGGGACATAAAAGAACATGAAACAAAGTTACCAGTAATTTTTACAAAACACTGGTTATTTATATCGTAAAAGAACATAAAACAAAGTTACCAACAATTGTTATAAAACGCTGGTTACATCTATTCTATACACGTCCCAGTAACAAAAAATTCAAAAGAAAACTCTTTCATGTTACTCTTGATTATGCTCTTAATCCGAGTCAGTATTAATATCATTCTCCACAGGAAATTTCCGCCGCGAGTGCGACTCGGACAAAAAACCGTTCCCATCCCCCGAACGGGATTTCTAGTTCGTATAATGCATTCGCGTTCATCCAGTTCCACGGCGACGCGAGTCGGTCAATGGAAGCACTCTTATTTACTTCATCCGTTTTCCAATTAATCGGAATCCACGATCAGCAAGTATCATATCTGGCGCTCTCATAACATCGACTCGACCTAGATCCCATTCGAACGTTGGATTCCTCGCGAACGGTTTCATTCACGATGCCTCGGACGCGCCAATTAAACGATTAATCCGATGCTCGCAGGTGCGTGATTGATTCCCGCAAGGGATCGCGACGTTATCGGGAACAGAAGTGCCAGCGTCGACGGTATTTCCCTCGCTCGACCGGGACCCTCGAAATTCTCGCCACATTTCCCGCGCAAGGCGAACTCCCTAGGAATCCCCACGAAGGAATGCGAATGCACCGCGACCGGGATGCGCCACGGATTCCCGGGATTCCATGCTTCCGGCGGCACGATTTCACACTCGTAGGCCTCGCGGCGGACTTATGTTGGCTTGACACCGAAGAAACCTGATTTGCCTAATCTTTTCGCGGAATTCCGACTAATGTCTTCATCTTGTTCTTTTGCGTGGGAGATGGGAAGAATGAATTTGGCGAAAGTGGATGGATAATTGAATGAGTGTTTGGAAGAAAAATATTATGTTTCGTTACAGCGAAAGGTAAATGCGATTCGTTACTCACTGCAGCGGTTGAGAGATTAGGAAATAAAGAATGGTGAGAAAGTAATGTGTTAAATGTAACTTACAGAATAAATATTATTAATTTTGATTATTGTATAACTATTTTTTAATGGATTATGTAATTAATAATATTAATTATTAATTTTACTGATAATATGAAATTGTTATGTCTAACAATTTTGAAACATTTTTTCTGAGGAAATATCTTTAGAAGAATTTCTGATGTAGATTCAATTTCAATTCAATCTTTTAATTTGATCAATTTTAGTAACTGTGAGGATTTAAACTATTATATTTTGTTAATAATTGTACGTCACGAGAAATGGAGACTTAAGAGATAAAAGGTTGGTCATTGATAATATGGAAATAATATTTCATATTTGGATCTCGACTGCTATCTGCGTAGACCTATTAATTATCTACAACGGACTCTCCCGCCGTAAGTAATTCTATCGGATTGACCGAAAAGTTATTTGATATTTATCAAGAAAGTTCAAGCAGGAGTTTCGCTGTATTCAATTAAACTTTACTAAACTGCGCTACCGGAAGAGAGTTCGGTATCTGTCATCGAATCGATGGAAACGCAGATATGTTCGTTAAGTCAGCGAACTTAAGTAATTATAAAGAATTGTATTAATTTATAAAAGTTGATGTGAAAAACTTTGAATACGTATTTCTGAAAATATTAGCTTCTTTAATACAAAGTTTGTCACACTGTAGAATTTTATTAAATATCTGCAAGTAGTTCCAATCTTTCTTTCATGTATAAACCATTTTACCATTTTGTAGCGTGATAATTCGAAATTGAATTGATTACATCATTAAGAAAAAAACATCAAGGCTTATTAGTCAACCGGATAGACACAACGATATAAATGTAAGAATGTCGCTGATCGAGATACGAATATAGGAATAAATAATTGCAACAAAAAAATTTCCTTTGATTCCACGATTCGCATAATTTTGTATAATCTTAACTTCAACCCACGCGCCGATCAACTTCATCGATCACGTGTATTGTACGTGGAGACTCGTACGCGTGTTTCATTGTAATCGAGTGACTGGAACGACATCGACTATTCAAGTAATTATTCTAGACGTAATTAAATATAAGCATTGTAACATTGAGCGTCGCCTTCTCACCCAGCGATCTCACTGGAGAATAAATCTTGCGTCGATTGCGAGGGCGTGTTGCACAAGACACGTCGTTATATGAATCTTAGATGGTATTGGATTCAATTGTACGCGCGAATCGTTTTAATTATATCTTGTACAGCACCGGCGGAACGCGCGTGAAGATAAGCGACCGATGCGACGCGAAACAAAAGAAACGAAAATAACGTGAGCGAATATCGAGTCGCGACCGGCCAATCTGAACGTATGTAAATATACCTCGATGTTCCCTGTACGAGACTAAACATCTACTTCCATGTGTTAATTACTTTTAACTGAGGTGTGGTATATACAATTACAATTAGTTTGTCCCAGCTCGTTCCGATTACTTTCACAATCGACCCTCCAGCGACGAGTGGCAGTTCCATCTCGCGTTTCGCAGAAAGTTCTTATATTTCCTTCGATTTTTCTCTAGTGGGGACGCAATCATTCACAGGTAAGTACATTAAGTTTCGATCTTTGTTTAAATGTTATTCGCCGTACCTGCGACAATTTCACAGAAATCACACGATTTACTTAGAGAAATAGAAACTAGAAATTTCAGACTCATCTCGGAGGTTACTACCTTAGTTTTCTCAAAATTAGATTTTTAAGTATACATAAAGAATTTCATGAATAACACCGACCGCGAGTTTGCATTAAAATTTAATGGATATAACATTTATATGCGCAAACTTACGACGCAAAACTTTGCGTTACAAAATAGGTATGCTCTTTTAACGATGCAGTGAAGGAGGTATGAAAAAGTGCATCAAAATCTCGGGCACTTTACAGAAATTCTAATAAGACTGTCGAACGATCAGCGTTCACCTTAATACATATAACTCCGTTCTTTTCGAAAAAAAGTAAAATTGTTATCTTTTGAGTGAACTTTCTTTGAATTTTCGAGGCAAAAGCATCAATTCACAGGTGAGTGTTTTTCACAATGCACTGAAGAGAAAGAAGAATAGACGAGATTCTGATTCGCCAATCGAAGAGAGCAACGTTAACCTTAATGCAATGAAATTGAGCTCCTTTTAGCATCTACTTCGTTGCCGCGTCCCTTTTCGCTCACGAGGCCGATTTCCTTTAAAAACTTCGAAACGAGATATTTCGAGGCAGTCGGAGAAATCGCTAAGTTTCCACGATGAAAGGAGTATTGGCCAAGAAATACCCGCCCTTCTTCTTTATCGATACATTTTTTAACCAATATGAAACGCCACACGGAATTTTCACAGCGCGGCAATATTCCTCGCGTTACTTTCCTGCCGTTTATATTTGTATAAGAGGCAATACGGCTTGGCGCAATAGGATTCCCCGGGTTTCCTCGAAGCGGGGGCGGGCAAATGCAATTGTTTTGTTTCCAGATATTCAAATGACGTTGCAGAATAGGAAGCCGATACCGCGCCAAGAGAACGGAAGCGAATTCAGCCATGCAGGAAAAGAGTCTAACTAATAAAAATGTTCAAAACATGTTGGCGATCAATGTTATAAAGTTCTTTACATTCTTACTGTTTCCTTGCTTTCTGAGATTTTGCTTCTTCGATTTTTAGTGGTACCTTAGTTCTTAGTACACCCTCAACTTTTCTAGTGTTACAGTTAATATGTATAAATATTCACGTATGAATAGAGAAATACTTATACAATTATATATTTCTTAATAGTTTGTGCCATTTACCAGTAGTGAGAGACGCATAACTTTGCGTTGGGACTCTGTCTTCTGGAAATGGGCTTTAACTATTCAAACAGCAACCATTTTTGTATTTTTCTTGTATATACGTTGAATACATTAATAAAATTTCATTTTTTAAACATAATAAATGTACACTCCTCCAAGAAATTAAAGAATCACTACATTGTAATTGAAAAATGACCGATTTTTGAACACTTGTAATATTATAATAAGAAATCGCACAACATTCTGCTTACGTTCACAATAAAGTATAAAGCTTCCACTTTCACTTGCATAAGCAATTGTTTTCTACGATATTTTTGCTTTACATAACAGGTAGGAAAGTAAACATACTTCTTCATTTCCAAAATTTTACGCTTGACACTCAAAATGTAAAAAGCCTGCAGTTTCATAATGAAGAAACATCGCGTAAAATGCAAATGAGCAGAAAAATACATTTTGCATTAATCTCGAATTAAAAAATCTGGAAGTCAAAATGGCATACACCAACGAAACAACATGCTCGTCTCTGATTCCCAACAGTAGCAATGGGTTTGCGCCTGTTGGAAAAAGGGAGTCGACATTATTCCGAGCGACTAGCCTGCTTTTCGGCGCGTATAATTAATTGCTCGGTTGCCGTGCGTGGAACACATCCGCTTTGCCGCGAGTTTAATCAGACAAAAGCACGCTTTTAAACGTAATTACACGCGGCGCATAGCCACTCGCTCGCGCGCACGTGCCAGCACCGGAATTGTAGCCGATATTAATCCACTCCTCTCCATCGATCAGCTTCTTGCGTCGTTCCATTGTGTCATGGGCTAATTAAAAGGCTGCTTTCCATTCTGTGGCAGGACTGGCGCATAGTGATCTAGATTGTCGGATTAGGAAGAAACAATTCCAAAATCATTCCCTTATTGATCGCGATACTATTTTCTATGTATTTCTGCGTCTTACATTGAACGTAACTAAACTCGAATCCATAAAATTATAGCAATTTTATGGTGAGATTATTATATAATAGAATTATATTTTAAACGTTCGTAACTCGGTAATATACTTTTCATTTACATACGAGTTGAAACGTTTATACACCATGTGCCATAATCTAAAAAGCAATTTATTGAGTTTGAGAATAACCAAGAATATGAAAAATCTAGATCTGTATCTGTACTTAGTTCATGAATGTTTTGTTTATGTTTACTACCTCATCTCATTAGATATACTGTACTAAATCAAAAATACATGTCATTAAAAAAAATTAAGATCTTAAGTTTTTATTAAAAAAAAACAATCATGTATAATAGTTGCAATTTGTATGAAAGTAAATACTAATTAACCTTTGTTTCAAACATTTTTTCGTAGGATTATTAGAAATGCCTACAAAACGATAGAAACTCAAACGATACACTCTGTAGATCATTGTGCGCAGATCCATCTCACCCGTGAACGTCGCACCTCGTCCACGTTTTTCGAATTCGTCGTTGACGACACGCCCCTCGCTGTCGCGTCTGTTCTCCTCTTTAATAAGTTTAATTAGGAAGCCGCCTAACTCGCGGTGCCCGGCGAATTTCATGACGAAGCTAGAAGTTCCTGGCCGTATACCGGCGAGGCCTGAACTCGCTTATTAAACCGTCAAACTTTGTTCGCGAACAAAAACGTATTCCGTCCGGCGAAGTCTCGAATAAAGTTGATATTAGCAGTCGGGAAGAAATCCAGGGATTTCGAGGGCGATATGAAGCAGCCCCGTAACATCCATCGTCCCCTCGCCTCGACGACAGGAGCGAGGAGATGAAAGAAGCGGGAAACAAGGAGCGACGCGCAATCTGGCGCGATTACACGCTAAAGATTCACAACGACACGAGGACAATCTTCCCGGCCATGATTTTCATTGTATTAACCGGGAGCGGCTGACAGCCTAGCGCGGATCGACTTTCGATCGAACACGCGACGTGACGCGCGTTTCAACGACGGCGAAATTTCGCCACGGTAATACGACTCGCACATCATTTGCTAACCGATTTTCAATGTTAGACAGCGTTCGCAGAGTCAAACAAGTTCGTTACCCGCGAGAGAATATTCTCACGAAAATTGCTTCTCCTTCTTCCGTTACCGAAGATAAGTATTTCACTTTTATTTGGAAATATCGGTGATTTAAAAGTTTTACCTTTAACGTACTGGCAACTTTAATGACCATGTACTTTAAATATATAATAAGCTTATTGCTTTAATCCTTATTGAAAAATCGAGGGTTAATTAATTACGTTTCCGTCAAACGAACAGATGCCAGTTTCGTAATTTACATTTACTTTCCTCTAGATAAATTACTTTCATGTTTCGCCCATCGTTTCCCAGTTTGTCGTGCAACGCTGTCGATATCCGCGTTCACAAGCGGCGCCGTAAAATCGAGCGAAATAATAACGGTTCGTAAAGCGGCGGTGGCTTTTAAAAATCCTCGGAACTTATCCATATTAATTTTTTTACGGTGTAAATTCTCTTCCCGCCGCGATAAAACCGGTGGATCGTAAAAGGACAGAGGGAGGCCGGGTTTTAGAGGAGGATCGCCCGATCGAAACGCTTTCTCAACGGTGAAAGAAGTAATAAAAGATCCGGCGCTAGCCGATCCAGGAAACCGTTCGCGTAAAGGGCACCGTTAAGCTATCCCGAGCACGAGCTTTTGAAAATGCGGGGGCCACCCCAGGAAATCCTGAAACCTCCATCCATTCCGGAAGTCGTAGCGTCGCTTCCTTACAATTCTTCAAACGAGGGAGTCTCTAAGAAAAATCTATCCAAACGGAAGTTCCCCTAGCTAACAGCGCAAGATACCGCGAAAGGGACGATTAATTTCTTCGTTCACTTTCTTGCCGAATTACCCGCAGAAATCGATCACACGTCTTCTCCTTTCCCTTTCTCTTTATCTTTCGAAAGTTACGTAAAAGGGGATGAAGTGAAACAGAGTAAAGGAGGGTCGGTCGGCGCGGCAAAAACGAGATAATGAGGCCTGGTCCGTGAGCCTAGCCTCTCCTCCTGAGAGAGGGAGCTTCTTCGTGGCTGAAGAAGGGTCACGATCGCTTTTTCGTCAAGGCAAGAATGTTTCGAGGGTTGGGTACGAGTATTGATTTCCAATTACCCGCCACCAGCCACCGCCGGCCGCATCCCGTCCTGTCAGGGGTCGCGGAGGCCGACTAGTCGATGGGACGAATCGAATAGAGAAAGAGGGTATGCATAATTAATTAACGAGTCTCACCTCGTCCGCTAATTTGCCGTGACCGCGCGCTCCGCAGAGGCTTTCTAATTGCGACCGTCGTTCAACCGTCGAACGGGGGCGCTGCTCGAAAAATCCAGCGGCTTCCCTCGTCGAGGAGACTCTCTCTAATTACAAGTTATCGCTATAGATATTCGTTTAAACAATTATATTCACCCCATTTCGCTCGAAGGTTTGACACAAATCGGTCTAATTTTCGGGGATAGTTTACTGGCTCACGCGATGGACATTAAAAGTGGACGACGCTTGCTTGTGTGTACTGACGGGATTAGGGTTAAGGGGGTAGAAGAGAAGCATGGGAAATAATGGGTGGAATTGCGGTAAAGGGAAACGAGACGA